ATAGGTAACTTTTAACAAGACCTTGTGTATATTTCAAAATTATATGGTTCATAGGTGGAACTCTAATATTTGATGAAGCTGACATTGAACTCCAGGCAGAAAATATTCTAATTACAGATGGAGGCGTTCTTCAGGTATACACGAGAACATGAAATATATTCATTTCTAACCTCTCCCTATTTCTTTTTGAAATACTGTGTATAAAATGGATAGTTAATTATAGCAACCTCTCCTAAGTTTATCTTTGTTTAGGTCTATGTTATTAGTATAAAATCATTTTTCTGGGGAAAAGTTTCCCAGAATATTCTTGTACTTTTAATGGGATGATGATAGTGTATTCTCACAGAGCAGAATTTAAAACTCTGAGATGTGGCTAAAGTCAGTCAGTATACTTTTCAGAGGTCTGGCATAGTGTATTTGGCTGACTAGAAAATTTATCTTTTGGAAAAAAGATATGAACAGCTAAGCAATTAATTCTCACAAGAGAAGAGAGAACAAAAAAGAATTACTTTTGCATGACTAAAATTGTGTATATTGTTTTAATTTTCTGAATGACGTTTGTGACACCTCTTGCAGATTGGGACGGAAGCATCCCCATTTCAACACAAGGCTGTCATTACTTTGCACGGGCATCTGCGATCTCCTGAGCTCCCTGTATATGGTGCCAAAACACTGGCTGTGCGAGAGGGAATCCTGGATCTGCATGGTACAGGGCCAAATGGCTCAGAGTTGGTAGAGGAGAGACTCACCAGGAAATCAGGGATAACCGTCCTGACAACACTCTCTAAGCGAAAACTTGCCAGGCTTTCTCAAGTCTTTAGATATCCAGTCTTTATCCTCTTTTACCTCTTCCCTCCCTGTATCCAGACCAGTCCAGCTCTTGCATACTATCAAGACCCAGAACCAAGGTCACATCTGCAAGCTGTTCTGGGCCTGCTCTATATCCTTCCTCTTACCCGTTTCCATGTGCTTCTCAATGCCTTTTGTCTCATTTTGTACTTATCGTAGTACATAGTGACTCTGTTTACTTCATTTATCTATATAAAAAGGCACTAAATCTGGAAGCAGGAGATTGTCATTTCCTACATTTGTATCTGAAAACAAGCTCTTTCTAAAATATTAGGTCATTGAATATGAAAAGTCCAATTTCAAATGAAAAGGGTAGTTTATTATATCTTAAACAAGATGCAGTACAATTAATCAAAGTATGCACCTAAACTACCAACACAGTTTTGCCATCTTAGTGGTAGCTTGCTTATGCCAGCAGCAAAGAAGCCTGAAGAGCGAGTGGTTATGTAATTGTGAAAGGTGTTTTCCACAGCTTGTTGAGAATTGAATATTTTTCCTTGCAAGAAGTGGTCCAAAGCCTGGAAGAAGTGGTAGTCAGTTGGTGCAAGGTCTGTAAACATGGTGGATGACAGAGAGTTTCCAAATCCAGTCTCTATAGTTTGAGCAGCATTATTTGTGCAACATGTGGTTGGTTGAGTGTTGTCTCCAAGAGGATTGACCTGTTTCTATTGACCAGTCTCAGCTGCTTAATCGTAAGCATCCTCATCATTTCATCCAATTGGTTGCAGTAGACATCCACTGTAATCGATTGACCAGATTTCATGAAGGTCTAGTAGGTAATACCAGTGCTGGACCACCAGACACCATTAAGCTTTTTTTGATAAATATTCAGTTTTCAACCATGTTTCGGCACTTTGTCTTTATCCAACCATTGTGCTGAATGCTTGCAATTATCAAAAAGAATCCATTTTTCATCATGCATAACAATAGGGCATAGAAATGGTCTGCCTTTATGTCATGATATCAAAGAAAGGCAAGCTTCAAGACAATTTCTCCTCTGATGCTTGCTTAATTCATGCAGAACCCATCTATCCAGCTTCTTACCTTGCCGATTTGTTTCAAATGGTCCAATATTTTTGGAATAGTAACAACAAACCTTGTTGCTAATTCACATGGAGATTCAGATGATTCACTTCCACTACATCTTTCTTCTCATTATTATCCACCTTGGTCTCAGGACGCCACGTGGCTTATTTTCAAGATTAAAATCACCAGGATGGAACCTTTCAAATCCTTGACATACTGTGCGTTCATTAGCCATATCCTTCCCAAATATGTCGTTGATATTTTGAGCTGTCTGTGCTGCATTTGTTCCATGACAGAACTCGTATTTGAAAATAACATGAATTTTTGATTTATCTGTTGTTTCACAAAAATTACCATAAAAAATTGTGAAAGATAATCACAAGCCAAAACATGCATTTGAAAGACTAATAATGTACCTTCACAATAAAAATAAAATAAGAAGTGTCAAACTGAAATGTCAGAGATATCAACTGTCAAACTTAGTACTTAAGGAAATCGGACATTTCACACTTAATAACTTAATGTGACAATAACTTTATAGTTGTACATTTCTATAACTATATCCTGGAAAGTTGCCAGGAAGTAAAAATGATTTTGATCATGTTTAAGGTATCAGGGTAACTTATTATTTCAAGGAAGCATGGTGTGAGTCTTTTTTATATTGAAGTCTTCCATATTGCAATAATCTATTTTATACATTTAGAATACCATAAACATGATATCGTATGATCTTTATGATCATAAATGTCCTACATTGTGATAAATATATATACTACTGTAATTTCTTAGTAATTTATACATTTGTCTCTAGATTATCAGTTTAAGCAATTCTTACCAATAATGACAAAGATAATAGACCTCTACACATTTTGTCAATATTATCACACCATATTCATGTCGTGTCCCTTAAAAAAGATTGTTATAGAGTATATCATTACAGAAGAATGCTTTTTAATTTTATAGACTCATACGTGCTATTACAAACCTAGTTGTTACTTTTATAAAGCAAGCATTCTGCATATTTCTTTTTTGAAAAAGGTATGGAATCCTAAGGTAAAATGAACCTTCCCAAAGTTGATTTAATCCAGGGAAAGATTTCACTGTGTAAAGTTCTCAATAACCAGTCAGATACATCTGAAGAAATACTGTTTGTTTGTTGGCTCCAGGTCTGCCTGTTCCTGTGATCTGGACTCGTTTGGCTCATACTGCAAAGGCAGGGGAAAGAACTTTGATTTTACAAGAAGCAGTAACATGGAAAGCAGGAGATAACATTGTAATTGCAAGCACAGGACACAGGTATGATATTTTCTGGGCTTCATGATTTTGATTTAGGACAGAAATTTCTAAACTGTGTAAAAGAGGGACAATTCAGATGATCCATGAATATTTGATTTAAATTTGAAACTTCTAATAAAGAAAAGAAACATGAACAGCCAAATAGATATTTGCCAAATGTCAACATTTTGTTAATCATCATTGCATTGCATTATCATTGATTAAATTTATAAGATAAAGTATAATTTTGAACCTATAAAATATGACCTAGTAAAATATTTTGTTTAATACATAGTTAAGTTCCCATGTCAGACTCCATTTGAAAAAAATCATTCTACTATTAAAAGTCATGTGAAAGTATCCACTTAGAGCTTTAACTAAATATGTTAATGAATGCAAAAAATGTAAATGAGCTTCTTTGTTTGAGGTCACCAAAGAATATGGTTGCAAGCAGCTAATTAACTCTTTCTTATATTACAGTCTTGGCAGTGGTTCCCAAGGAGCAAAATTGTTGATAATGATTGAATAAAAGGGAAGAAATTATCATACAAAAATAATGATTAACATGACCTTTTAGGTGCCTTACATTTTAAAATTGAAATTGTTTATGACCCTTAATTTCTGTTTAATTATATATTTTAACAAATAAGAAATAAAAGGAAAAAAATTAATATAACAACACCAAGTGTATTGAGGGTAGGGACAAGAAGAGCCTTATTTTTGCTTTATTGGTCAAATTATAGATAATAGTAAAATTGGATATGGTTGCGCTTATCAGAGAACAAATACTAATTTATGACAAGAAACAGCTAAATTATGTTAAGGTAATAATTAAATTTAAAATTAAAATTCAAGATGGCATTTTGAGTTTGACATTTTCCAAGTTAAAAATAGACTTGCAGATGTTAAGAAGAGTTAACTATATACTTACCTTTTCAAGTGCTCATTTTTTTCTGCCCTCGGAAGAAATTTTAATTATACAATGGCAAAATAATAAATAAATAATAATGGCAAAAAGGCAAAAGAAAAATGATAGGACTTACTAACAGAATAGAAAATCTTCATCTATAGCTTTTCTGTATGGAATAAAAGAGTAAATTCAGAATTTAGCACAGGACTTTTTAGTTTTAAGAAATAAGAGTTAAGGAGATTTTTCTCCAAATCTAACTCATTGTTCATTATTTCATTGGAAAATTTTATTTGAGAATTTGTAAAGCCAGTGGTTAAGAAAATGACTTCGAAAGTCAGTCAACCTGTGTGCAGCTCCCAGCAATACCACCTACTAGCTGTGGCTATATTATTTCGCCTCTGTGTGCTTCAGTAAAATTGGAATGCTGTTAGAATCGGCCTCATAGAATTATTGTAAGATTAAGTGAGTTAATATGTGTAAAGTAAATAGAGCAGAGCTCTGCTCAAAGTGTTTTGTAAATGTTAGCTATTACTATGAAGGAAAGAAAGATGTTTTAGGTGCACTCAACATTTAAAATGCTTTTCAGAACCTTCTTTTCTAAAGAAATCATTGTGTCATCTGAATCCAAGGGAATTAAAGAAAGGCTAGCCTACACCCCTTTTCCATCCCACCTGTGAGATCTGGTACCATTGATTCTCCTTATCTCTAAGCATCCTTAATCTCCACCTCTCCGTGTCCTTCCCTGGGTTCTTTGGAATTATTGGTTTCCCCATTCACCCATCATCTTGATAAACAACTTTGTTCTCCTGTCTCCTCTAGCATCTTTCTTTTTCTTACCCTTTATTTTAAAAAATTATTAAACTGCTTAAATATGACATGCCCTTTCTTCTATTTTATCCTCATTATTCTTTTTTTCCGTTAAACCCCTATAGTCTTAATTTCTTTTTCACAAAAGCTTTTCCAGTGATCTTCTAATTATCATCATTCTTCACTTCCTTCGTATCACTAGGTTCCTTTGGTTCTGCCCTTGAGATGTCTCTTCCATCAGCTTTTCCTGCTGTCAGTTTAATTTAGACTCTCTGTTTCTCACACCTGCGATATTACATCCTCTTCCTATTTGGGCTCCATTCCACTTTCTTGCCCACATGAATTCATTATGCGTTAATTTGTTCAATCAAGAAAAACTGTTACTGAATTGTGACAGATACTGTACTAAGTGTTCAGCAAACAAAATGATTCAACAGGTCCCCTGCCTAGAGGAGCAGACAGGCCAGGGGAAGGGACCAAGACGTAGATACCTCACAGGACTGCAATGTGTTTGCTCTGAACACTAACCTGGCATTATACAGGGTGTATTGGGAACCCAGAAGAAGGGCTGGGAAAGTTGAGAAAGGTGACTTTTAATCTTTTTAATGTGGCACTGTTATTTAAACTGGTATTTAAAGGAGGAAAAGGATTTGCTAAGGTAGAGAAGAGTCAAAGGGAAGGTCAGGAAGACATAGAGGTAATTCCCCTAAGCTTACCTCTGTTAATGGCACCAATCACACTTTAGTAGATAAGGTACAGTCGGGTATTGACATATTTAGCACTGACACCTTAAAATTAGGGGTACTTTCTATGTAGTATCCCCTGTCCTCAGCTCTTTGCCTAGAAAACAGGCTAGATGCTCAATAAATGGTTGTTGAATGACTAAATACATGAATATATGCATTATAGAATTGGCAAGTCCTTTCTGCCATGGCTGGAATTTGGGATACATTGGAGGAATGGTAAAAATGAGGTCTCTTAAACTTCAACTCAATCATTTCTTTTCCCTGTTCAGTAACCTCCAATGACTTCCCTTTGTAAGAATTTCTTAACTTTGTCATGACTGACATCTTGAACCAGATAATCTTTGTTATATGGGGCCATCCTTTGTATTATAGAATGCTTAGAAACATACCTGGCTTCTACCCACTAGAAGCCAGTAGCAACCCCTAATTGTGACAACCAAAAATGTCTGCAGGCATTGCCAAATGGTGCCTAGGGGGATAAAATTATTTTCAGTTGCAAACCACTGAATATGATTCTCATAGTTGTAAATAAATAGTTCTTTTTAATACTTTTCAGAAGCTAATACAGTTCTAGGAACAAATATAGAACTTGGAAAATACTTAATTTAATTGAATGCACCCATAAAACTTACTCTAAGAAATAATAAAATACTGTATTCTAATTCCTTTTCAGAATATTACATGACAGAAAAATATTTTCCTACTTTACAAATGAATTGTTTAAAATAGCATAAAACAAATATACTAAAACAATGTTATGTCAATTTATATTAATTTTGAAAATTTTTTGTTAAAATTTTTACAGACACAGTCAACGAGAGAATGAAAAAAGGACCATTGCATCTGTATCTGCTGATGGCATAAACATAACACTAACTAATCCACTGAATTACACACACTTAGGAATTACTGTCACACTCCCTGATGGAACTTTGTTTGAAGCAAGGGCCGAAGTTGGAATTCTTACAAGAAATATTTTAATAAAAGGATCTGATAATGTGGAATGGAATAACAAAATTCCACCATGTCCTGATGAATTCGACACAGGTAATTTTAGCAGTTATCATGTGGCTGGTATAATCAAGCTATAGATGTTCAAAATTTAATTGGTTTATATCAAAATATAGTATTTTAGTTTCAACTTGAAAGTCTGCCTTGTAAATATGACTGAATGTGGAAATTTGGGAATGCCAATAGCATTTTTAAGTAACATTATGAAAGCATTTGAATATGTTGAACAATAATAGTTCATGTTGACACTGTAATGGGAGAAATAAATGTGCTTGTATTTTGTTGATAAAGACTCTTTCTGTACTTATGATTCCTTATTATATGTTTAAATTAGACTTGGATGATTACAGTTTCACATATTGTCATCAAGAAGCTGCATCATTTAGATTCACCCAGAAAATGTAGAAACCCATATTTGATGATGATATAAAGATTTTGTTTAGCAAATCTTTGATCATCAATGCTTTTTGTATTTTTCAGAATCTGCAGTTCATCAAAACAGTGTATGTGAGAGTGGATTCATTGTAGGCAGATATTTTGCCTAGTAATTCCTAGACAGATGATGGATAGATGGACAAATGGATGAATGGGCTGATAAAGAGATAGATAGATATATAGATCTGAACCAGCCAGAGCAGGCTAAGTCAGAAGTTTTCAACTTCGACACTATTGACATTTTGGCTCAAATAATTCTTTGCTGTGGGGCACTGTTTAGCAGCATACCTGGCCTCTACCAACTGCATTCTAGTAACACCCCCACAACCGTTACAACCAAAAATGTTTCCAGATATTGCAAAAATGTTCCCTGGGAACCACGGGACTAGGTTATGTTCTATTAATAAATATGTTCCAAACTCAGTGATTTAAAATGACAAAAGTTTATTTGTCATTCATGCTACATATGTGCAATATGGGTCAACAGGGGGGCTCTGCTCATTATAATCACTCCAGGATCCAGGCCAATGGAGGCTTCATCTCAACATGGGTTTGCACGATCTCAGAGCAGATGAGATGGCTGGAGAGTGAAGCACCAGCAAGTAGTTGCTTTGGTCAAGTGGTTTGGTGAAGTGACACATGTCTCTTCTACTCAGGTGTCATTGGTCAGAACTTATTCCATGGCTATGCCTAACTTGAAGGGAGTGAGTCCGTGCAAGCCCCTGTGTACCCAGGAGTATTAGAGAACTGGATACTGGTGAACTTAATGATGTTTACCACAGTTCTCATTTGTCTAGTAGGAAGCACAATGCATTCGACGAGTCTCTTTTAAATATTTTATGTAGTCATTGATATTGCCTCAATCCTATAAGTAACTGAATAACAACAGATACAGCTTAGATAATAGCCTTTTCTTCAAAAGGAGATATAGAATAAAGCTCACTGGATTCAATGTTAAATGACCTATATTCTGATTCTAGTTCTTCTGCATCAAGTTTCACAATGTACATGAAATCTACTTTCAGCCTGTTTAAAATAAGAGTACTTCCTGTTGTGCCTACTTTCTATGGTTGCAAGAATCAAGTAATATTCAATCATCAATTCAATATTCAAGTCGTGAATATTCTTGTGCTATACAAGTATAAGATTGAATTAATTATATTAATCCCAAAATCTTTGGGGAAAGATTCAGAAATAATATACTAAAAACCCTATCAGTATTCCCTTGAACATTCAAATATTTATTTAGTATCTCCTCTGAAAAATACTGTAGTGAGTTCTTTAAGGAGTGCAAAGATGAACAAGACAAGATACTTACTTTTTTTACTATCTAGAAAAGGAGATGATGTGAATGCAAATAATTATGTTCCTGGAGAGACTGAAATTATATGTGAATAAAAAGATAGTTAGGTATGCGAAAAAAAAATCCTTAATATAAGAGGACTAAGGCATGTTTTTTATTTTCTGATGTTTTAAAAATATTTTTAAAGGTGAATTTGCTACACAGACATGTCTCCAAGGAAAGTTTGGAGAAGAAATAGGAAGTGACCAGTTTGGAGGCTGCATTATGTTTCATGCTCCTGTACCTGGTATGAATATGGTAACTGGAAGAATAGAATATGTAGAGGTAAGAGGCATTATTATTAAATCATAGTGGCTTGCCCAAGGTTATTCACACAACGAACATGTATCGAGCTCCTGCGGTTTGCCACATGCTACTTACAATCTGGTAGAGGAGACAAATACGTAAGTGGACAATTTTAATATCCAATTATTCACTCATTTTGTCATGCTAAAATTTTCTTTCTGTATTTTCTCACACTTATATCAAATTCATCAGCAAATTCTATCTTCTCTATCCACAAAATACTGTATCCATAATCCACTTTTTTCCACCACCCCCACCCAATCCTAAACCCAAGTCACCATCCTCTCCCACCTGTACTACTGTGATTTTCTCTTGCCTGGTCTTTATGCTTCTACTCTTGCTCCAAGAGGGTCTTCACACGAAGCCAAAGTATAATGTTAAAACCATAAATCAAATCTTATTATACCCCTATTCAAAACCCTTCAATGGCTTTGTATTATACCTAAAACAAAAAGTCCAGGTCCTTCCCATAGGACCCACATGATCTGACCCCCAGCTACCCTGTAACTTTGTCTCCCATTACTCTACTTCTTGCTCATGCCATGCTAGCCTCCCAACATGACCATGTCAAGCACATTCCTATCCCTGGTTCTTTCTGCTTTCTCTTCATTCTGCCTGGACTCCTCTTCCACAAAATATTTGTGTGGTTCACATCCTTATTTCAGTCAGTGTCTTCTCAGATGTTCTCTCTCCAGAGAGGCCTTTCCTCATTGCCTTTATTTAAAATTGCGGCCCAACTCTGTTTTTTTAAAATTTACTCATAACTCCTAATATAATATCTACTTTTTGTTTATTTTCAATCTCTCCCTCTAGAACATAAGCTAAATTATCTCAGAGATTTTGCCTTTTTGGTCCTTTGCTCTTTCCCCTGTGGTTGGAACAATGCATGGTGTGTAGTTGATTCTCAATTGATTATTAATTGAAAAAACAAACAAATATGCATATTATCTCTAAGATATTAGGAGCTTTTGTGTATCTTATTCATATTCACACTGTATAATCAGGGTTTGGCATAGTTCTTACCAAGTATTCAGTTGAAGAATGGAAGGAAGGAGGGTAGGAAGGAAAAAAATGATAGTAAAATCCATAAATTCTTTAAACTTGGCTTTAAACAGTTAGACTGTGTTGATGTTGACAGAGTCAGCACTTCCATTTTCTGTAACTTCCCTTCTCCTAATATATTTTATATACACACATGTGACATCTGAGTATGGACTGAGTGAGGTTGCCAGGGAAAATTCAGATATTAAATATTAGTAAGGGCTAATTTTTAATTTTTAGATGGAGAGTGAAAATAAATAGATGACCTTATATTTTTCCTTACCCCATGATATTATATTACACACACACACACATTTACATACACTGGCATCCTCTGTATTAGATTACTAGACTGCAGTCCATTTGAAAGAATACACAACAAAATGGTTAATAAGAGCATCAACTCTAGAGTCGACCAACTTGAGTTTCAATGAAGCTTTGTGACCATGATCAAGATTCTCAGCCTTTCTTAACTTCCATTTCTTTATCTGTAAAATGATGTTAATGGTAAGTGGCTACTTCATAGGATTATGATAAAGATTGTGATAATGCAAATATCAAACAAAACACTTGGCATAATATTTGGCATATGGCAAATATTCAAGAAATATTTCTTATTAGATAAGAATCAAAGTAAGGGGGAGAAAGTCTTTTAAAAAGTTTTATTTTGTAAAACATGAAAGTTTATTGATAGACTAAGGTAAAAAGCAGAAGAGTCAAAGATGACTTTTTTTCATTCATTCATTTATGCATGTTGTAACAAGCGTGGTTTATTATACACTGTATAAAACAAGAATTGTTGGGTGCTGAACAACTTTTTCAAATGACAAATAATTTGGAGGATATGAATACATTAATAATAATTAATATAAAATTGGAGATTATTTTGAAACAGGAAAATATGAGCCAAACAAACTCTGAGTCCATGTGGATCACTAAATGGCTCTGATTTCTGGGTTTTACAGGTATTTCATGCTGGCCAGGCTTTTCGGCTAGGGCGATATCCAATACATTGGCACCTGCTGGGAGATTTACAATTTAAATCTTATGTAAGAGGCTGTGCAATTCACCAGACCTATAACAGAGCTGTTACTATCCATAACACACATCACCTTCTGGTTGAGAGGAATATTATATATGACATCAAGGGAGGAGCATTTTTTATAGAAGATGGTATTGAACATGGCAATATCCTGCAATATAACTTGGCAGTATTTGTACAGCAAAGTACTAGTCTTCTGAACGATGATGTGACCCCAGCTGCATTTTGGGTAACCAACCCGAACAATACCATACGGCACAATGCAGCTGCTGGTGGCACTCACTTTGGTTTTTGGTACCGAATGAACAACCACCCCGATGGGCCATCCTATGACCGAAACATTTGCCAAAAAAGAGTTCCTCTTGGAGAATTCTTTAACAATACTGTTCATTCTCAAGGTTGGTTTGGATTGTGGATCTTTGAAGAATATTTCCCCATGCAAACAGGATCTTGTACTTCCACAGTGCCAGTGCCTGCCATATTTAATTCACTTACTACTTGGAACTGTCAAAAAGGAGCTGAATGGGTTAATGGAGGTGCCCTTCAGTTCCATAACTTTATGATGGTAAACAACTATGAGGCTGGAATCGAGACCAAGAGGATTCTGGCTCCTTATGTTGGAGGGTGGGGTGAAACCAACGGAGCAGTGATTAAAAATGCCAAAATAGTTGGTCATCTTGATGAACTGGGTATGGGATCTGCATTTTGCACAACAAAAGGCCTGGTTCTTCCATTTAGTGCAGGCTTGACTGTATCTTCTGTGCACTTTATGAACTTTGACCGTCCCAACTGTGCAGCTTTGGGGGTGACATCCATCACTGGAGTTTGTAATGAGAGGTGTGGAGGTTGGAGTGCAAAGTTTGTTGATATCCAGTATTTTCACACACCAAACAAGGCTGGCTTTCGATGGGAACATGAAGTGGTGCTGATTGATACTGATGGTTCACTTACAGGTAATAGTCTCTTAAAATTTGTGATAAAAATACACTGGGAATATGTCTGTGTTAACACAGTTGAATTTTTTTTATTTTTTATTTCAGCATATTACAGGGGTGCAAATGTTTAAGTTACATATATTGCCTTTACCCCGCCTGCCCAAGTCAGAACTTCAAGTGTGTCCATCCCCCAGATGGTGCACACCACACCCATTAGGTGCGAATATACTGCTCCCCACTCCTACCTGCCCAACACCCGATGAATGTTACTACTATATGTAGAATTTTTAAAGCAGACTTAACATGAACTACATATCTTACCCAGCATCAAACTTTACTAATAATTTAAAGGACATAGGCAAGCCCCAGGCACAGACAAGACATTGTTTTCTGAAAGAGCCCCATACTGTCGGATGAAGCCTCCAAATACGTCCAGATCCTATGTTTCAGCTAGGTGCACAATAAGATCCCTGACTGAAGAGTCACTGCAAAGTTCCTGTATAAGATCCCCTTGCCTCATGCAAACAAACAAACAAAAAAATATCAAGACTTTTAGATTTTATTGGTGGTACTATGGGTCCTAGTACCTATATATTGTAGACTGTTTTTTTTTTTTTTAGTTTTTTAACATGAAATAGAAAACATGCTCTTTGTGTTTGTTTCCCAGGGTACAAAGGACACACCGTTATTCCACACAGCTCACTGTTAGACCCTTCCCATTGCACTCAAGAAGCTGAGTGGAGCATTGGGTTCGCTGGCTCAGTCTGTGATGCTTCAGTCAGCTTCCACCGTTTGGCATTCAATAAGCCTTCCCCAGTATCTCTGCTTGAAAAGGATGTGGTTCTCTCAGACTCATTTGGTAAGCAGAATACAATAGTTTAAGCTGCTAATTTAAATATATCCTCCTAGACCTTTGTCATCAGCTTCTTGGATTTTTTACTTGATGGTTTGAAGATTGCAGAAAAGCATAATGTTTATGTTAGAATCCAAGCAGGAAACAAATAATACACTCAAAGCGGGTGTTTGAGGAGCACTGAATAAATGCATGGGCCAGCATGGTATTCTACTGATCAAGGAACCTTCAGACAACATTATGGCAAAGAGCAGGAAAGTTGGCACAGCCCTTGGAGCAAGATAGGAAAAATGTACCAGTGTTCCCTCTATTCAAGGCAAAGGGTTTTAATTATCCTTGCTGATTGAGATGGAATGGAAGGAGCATTTAGTAGGTCAATAGCTGCGTTCCAGGTGCCAGGGACTATAGATTTACTGATTTGTTCCAGTAAAGATACAATACATGGAATACCAGATATGCCTGACAGCATTACTTGACTATGTTGTATTAATTTACTGTCATTCATGATCCATCTGGCATTTGCACCAGCCCAACAATCAAGTTAAATGGGGATGTAGTGATAATCCTGACCCCCACCTCTCAAATCTTTGATCGTGGCGCTAAGCTCTCTGTTTTCTCCCACAAAGATTTAAAATTTCTTTTAGTTTATTATCTTGGTAAGGGGGTGAGAGGCACAGTTTTTAGAGCATCCAATTAGTCCTTCCTACCAGATTTGCCCTCACTCCATTAGTCAGGGAACCAATGTGGGAATTCTTCTAGTCTTCTAGTTGCAAAGTATATCTATTCCCACTCTACCTGACCTAGCCCACCCTGACTGGCTCAAATCTATATATTGATACATATTTCTTTATCATTCCATCTATCCATTTGTTCATCAATCCATCATCTGTCTAGGAATTATTAGTTAAAATATCTGTCTACAATGAATCCACTCTTGCATATACTTTTCTGGTGAAATGCATATCTTGGAAAATAGAAAAAGCATTGATGCATCAAATATTTGCTAAGCAAAATCTTTTATCATCATCAAACATAGTTTCTACATTTTCTGGGTAAATCTAAATGATGCAGCTTCTTGATGATGTATGTAAAACTGTAATCACTGAAGTCTAATCTAAACATATATTAATAATAAAGAACCATAAGTATAGAAAGAGTCTTTATTAACAAAATCTAAGCATGTTTCTTTCTCCCATTACAGAGTCAACATTAACCATTTTTCTTCAACATATTCAAATACTTTCATTGTGTTACTTTAAAAAGCTATCAATATTTCCAAATTTCCACAGTTAATGATATTTATAGGGAAGATTTTCAAGTTGAAGCTAATATAATGTATTTCAATATAAACCAATTAAATTTTGAAAATTTGTAGCATGGTTATACTAGCCACATGATAGCTGCTAAAATTACTTGTGTCAAATCCATCAGGACATGGTGGAATTTTGTTATTCCCCTCTACATTATCAGATCCTCTTACTAAAATATTTCTTGTAAGAATTCCAACTTCTGCCCTTGCTTCAGAGTTCCATATGTATTCCCACTACACATTCTGGAACTGAAGAAATAACCATAAGATGGACCCGTGGCCCCACTGGATTCACTGTGACTCTAAGAAAAGACTAATTCTATCGCCTACCCTTCATAAGCCCCCACTCTGACTGGTGGACCATGTTAGCATGGTGGCATATAGCTTCTTTGAGGATTAGTATCAGTTTAGAGCCAAGATCTAATAACTTGGAAGGTCGGGATATTTTCCTTTTCCTAGTATACAGTAGCCTAAGTGACCACAGCTTTCTACCACTCAGTGGAGGGGCTTTTGGTCTATGAATTGTTTTGGATCTAGAAAATAGGTAAGAAGTTAGATTTCTGTTACCTAAGACCTCTATCATTTTTCTTCCTATATATTCACCAAATATCACCTTAGTAGGCTACTCACCTATTTAGTGTTTGGCATCTCAAGATCAATCAGCTATCGCCATAGATTCCTGCAGGTCAGAGCACTCTGATTATTCCTCTGTCCAGTAGGTATTGTGCTAAGTAAGCCTACCTTTATATCTGACAGGTAAGCACTGACTCCCGCCACTTTTAGATCCCATTATTCCTACAGAGATTAGGGAAGCCAATTCCATTGCAGCATCCCCTGCCAGCATTTCCAGCAGCCAGAAAACAGCCACTGTAGAACTCTTCAAAAGACAAGTAAGAGAAAAATGCTGTTATCACGACTAGGCCTGAAAAGGTAAAGGGAGGCAACAGTTACAGAATAGATAGAGCTGTATGAAGAGGGCTGCTCCCTTTGGTTGAGAGATGCAAGAGCCCACCAAGATCCCCCTACCTTCCCACAGAGTGAGAGTCAGGGGAATAAAGACGTCACTTTCACCTTCCTCCCTCCCTTTCTTCTCTTCCTTATGCGTCCCCCTGTCCAAACCAAGCCATAATGCAGAAGGCAAGGGAGCAGGATGGAGATGGTGAGCCGTGGATCTGCAGAAGAAACCAGGTGCAGCACCACGTCCATCATTTGTTAAGATGATTTAAGTTATTAGATTTAATTATAAAAAACTCTTACTAGGATTTTTTCCTCCTATAAATTGAAAGGGTCATATGCCTACTATCTGAGTAATAGTTATACCCACTGTCTCAGTGCCTTAATGATATAAACCCAGAAGCCATTACTTTTCTTCTGATAAATAGATGTCCCAGATGGAAAAATGTTACTTAAATGTTTAGAGACTATGGTACAATAAACAATATTTTAAGCAGAGTATCTATGAATGTTTTCTTCCAAATAAAAACTACAGGCTAAAACAAAAAGTAACCAATACACCAAAAGCAAATGAAGTTATTTTATCTGATGAGGTAATATTTTAGTGTTTCTAATTACTATGTCATAAAATAGTATTTTTAATAATCTTTTAAAATACTTTATGGCATAGGTGTAAATAAACTGAAAATAGTATTTTATAAAACATGGTTTAAGATACACTTATATGGAAAACTTAGAGATGTGCAACATTCCTAAGTAAATTATTTCAAATATATAACGTGATAAAGTATATATGCATTTATTAATTTTTAAGCAGTACTATTCAAACATCTCACCTCTAATGTTTTTTGTGGTTGTTGTTAGTGGTGGTGACGATTTTAGGAAGGAGTTTTTATTTATTTGTTTGTATTTTGGTTTTTTGATTCATGAAGTCTGGTATTTCTGAATTTATGAGATGATAGCTTTTTTGTGAAGTCTCTCTGTGCTCTTTGGCCTATTCCCTTCAAGAATTAAGATTTTTATTTAGTTACTAAACTGAGAACACCTGGAGGGCAAGATACATAAATTTATATTTCTGATACCACAAAACTCAACACTGAACATTGAAAATTGCAGGTACTCAGCAAGTATTGAATTAGAAGAAATTTGTTGCAATACTCAGACCAGATTGCAAAGTAGAGAAACATTATGCCAGGCATTTTACTTTTTAATGTGACAAAAAAAAAAAAATCAACTTCCTAGTAAGGAAAATTTGACTACTTTTATTTTATCTCCATTAAAGTCAAATAAAATTATTTACTACTAAAAAATTAAAAACAGAAAAAGATCGCTCATTTGGATTATGTATGCATATTAAATGAATCAACAGTTTAAAAAGTATACTAGATTGGTGGGAAGTAATATTTGGTATAACTTTACATATATTCTTATATATCTTTATCAAAGCATCTTACATATGATGATATATTTTTATGTAAATATATGTATAAAGTTAGACCAGATGGCAAATTAATTTGATGGCAAATTAGCTTACTCTTAATGATCCTATTTTTTAAAAAATTTCAGCTTCAAAGAGCTCATATCTCAGTCCAAGATGCTTGAAACCAATGTACTCGTAATGAATGCAGCTGAAAAAAAATTAGGAAAAGCACAACTAAGAAAAATGAAAATTAGTTTTACTTATGAAACTGAATTATTAAGAAATGTCATGTTAAAGTATTAATATAATCCCATGGGTTAGAAAACTTAAGTGGAGTTTAGATATGCCAAATATATTCTAGAGGTTTTAGATGGCTTTAATTAGCTCTTGTGTAAATTAACTATTGCTTCACAACAGACTATTCCCAAACTGAATAGCTTAAGCCTACAATTATTTATTTTTACTCACATGTCTGAGAGCTGTGATGGTTGATCTAGGCTGGGCTCAGCTGGGAGGTTATTCTTCAAGGTGAGGATCTGGTGGGCTTTGTTTCTCACCATGGTTTGAGCTCCAGTGGCTCCACGTGTGCTCATTCTGGGTCTCAGGTGAAGGGAGGGCAGCTACCTGGGGGAGCCTCTTCTCCTTGTGATGGCAGAGGCTCAAGACGTCAAACCTCACTGAGCAAGCACTTTCCAAGCCTTTGGTAATGTCAGTTCTGCTGATGTCCCTTTGGACAACAGAAGTCCCCCAACCTCAACAGAACAGGGAAGTCTACCCTCAAAGACGTAGACTCAAGGAGGGGAGAGAAGTTTATATTTCCTGAACAATATTTCAGATAATCACAGTTCTTCTCATACTTTCCAGGGTTTTTGGTAGTATGAGTGCTCTGCTCATGTACCTTTTAAAACTAACAGGAACTTATAAAGTCTAAGAATTAATGAATTTTTCCCCTTGCTATTGGAAGTAGGTTTTTCTTTTTCTTTTTTTTTTTTTTTTTGCCTATTCCCAAAAGAAAATGAATGATGGTTTATTTTATAACTTGCTTTTAGCTATTTCCTCCTAAATTCTAAGGTGATAAGTTACTAACTTAACATAAAATCCAATCCAAGATGAAAAGTAGAAGGGAAGGGATTGAAAAAATAGGGACAATTAATCAAAGATCTTTTCTTTATATTGTAAGGGACCTTTCCAAATATTCTACTAAAGTTATCAGACATTTTCTCATGACCAAAGCGTAACTAAATTATATAACTGTTTCCCATAACAAGTAGCTCAGGTTGGAAGTTTCTCATTCTCAACATTTACATATCTTGGCCAATTTTAAGTGGTAGGTCTAGCCATAGCCTTGTTCCTTAAGCTCTCTAAAGCATAACTTCATTAAAGTCAAATAAAATTATTTACTCCTAAAAATTAGTATTTGTTATACAGATTTTAATCAGCTCAACATATATAGGAGATTCTAATAAAGAATCAGAGCTTATATTTGCATACACTGTAAATCAAGGATTCTGAAGAATTAAGTTCTTAAAAGAATTAAATGGAATTATGTTTAGATCAATGATATCTGAAGAATTATATTAATATATTTAAGCACTTTTGTCTTAGTAGTCATAATCATCATTATGTTTCAAGTGCATCTTTCCCTAAGGAATAAGGGCTCCATCTCCATTCAAAATTGTAACTTAGAAAGCATTTTACATTCCACTTAAATGTAATATTAAACATTTGGAGTCTTCAGTTAAACAAAGACATTTAGAACATAAGTAATAAAATGCTGTACTGACCTCTTCAGAGACTTCCATAGACTAGCCCAATATTTTACATTTGCACTTGTTTATAAAAGGAGGAATTTTCTAGAGGTAGGGATTACTATTATTTGCTCATTTTTTGTGTTTCTACAGGCACAAGCATTGTTCCTTTTCAGAAGAAACGACTGACTCATATGTCTGGATGGATGGCTCTGATTCCAAACTCAAATCACATTAACTGGTATTTTAAAGACGTGGATCACATAACCAACATATCATATACATCAACATTCTATGGATTTAAGGTAAACAAAGAGCTATAAAATCCATCTCCTAATAATTATAATTGCATATTACTCAAATGCAGCCTACATGCTCATACTTACACCCATTGTTGTGCCTAGAAGGCCCTTGCCTCACAAATTGAGATATTAAAGTTCTTCACATCCTCCATGACCCATTCTAAATATAAGAAGTAAGCTACCAAAAACCTCTTTTGAGAATCAGAAGCAATATTCTCCCGTATTCCCATATACTAAGCTTGTGCTCCTATTGTTATTACCATGATAATAATTTGCATTTATTGAGTGTTTATGATGTCTTAAGTACCTGTTAAGGGCTTTATTATTTGTATCATGAAATATATCAAACATACAAAAAATTATTTTTAAAAACCCACACCAATACCTGTATGCCCACCACATATCTGAATCTATTAATAACATTCTATGAATATTTACTTTCTATTTTTTAAAAGAAATAAATCATGGTAGATAATGTGGAAGCCCCTTGTATGATTTACCCAAAACTCATTCCCTCCCTACTCAACATTTCTGATGATGACCAGTATTCTGAATTGGGTGTTTTCTCCCCATATATATTCTTCCACTTATACTACATATATGTGCAGCATCATTTTAAATATTTCAAACATTATAGAATAAAATATTCTGTACAATTTTATGTGTCAATTTAAAAAAAAGAAATAAAATATTCTCTAAATACATACATATATATACACACACACATACTCATAAGTGTACACACATACACATAAAAGCATACACACACACACACATACACACAGAAGAGAGAATAGAGAAACCCTGTCATTGTCTTAGTGATCGAGCTAGCATTTTTGTTATAGACATGTAAAATGTTAATAAATAAAATATAGCAAGAAAATGCAACCCAACAGAATGAACAGTAATTCACCCCACTTATTAGTTCCCTCAATAAATGAGAATGACTTGAACTCCCCTCTCAAGAGACATAGGCTGGCTGTATGCATAAAAAAAAAAAAAAGCCAAGCATCTTCTGTCTCCAGGAAACGCATCTAACCTGCAAAGATACATTTAGACTCAAGGTAAAGGAGTGGAAATCAATATTTCAAGCAAATGGAAGCCAAAAGAAGGCTGGTGTGGCAGTTTCAATCTCAAATAACTTAGTTTTTAAATCAACAAAAGTAATGAAAGACAAAAAGGGTCACTATATAATGGTTAAGGGTACAGTTCAACAAGAAGACATAACAATTCTAAATATGTATGCACCCA